GTGATTTGAGCTTAGTTCTAATATTAAAACCCGGCCTCCTCTCACGACGCAATATATATAAAAAAATCTCTCGTTGTCAGAAAGTACGTTATTGCAGCTAATTTGAGCTGTGAAACGTGCTTGTATCACAGGAGTCTGACGTTTAATTAATATATGTATAAAAGTCTATATATAAAAAAACACCCGTATACTATATGGTGTTTTTATTATATTATACGGGGTATTTTTTTTATATATATATAGACTATTATACATATATTAATTAAACGTCAGACTCCTGTGCTTGTATGTTCGTATGGGTGTTTGGTTATATCGGCCCAAGGTAATATCGGCCAGACCTATTTTACCCAAGTGAAATCAGCCCAAGTNACTACTATGTATCTATATATATGTGAAATACATGGGATTTATACATTTATAAGTAGAATTTTATTTAAATAAACACATTAAAGGATTTATTTAATTACGTACTGGTGTTGTTGTTTTGTTTTTATTGCCTTACACAAACAATGATGTTCGCCTACCAGACTGTTGTGAGTAGCTCATAATTAACTCTTGAGTACCTCATCACCGCCTCAACTCCAGGTAGCCAATCAAATGTATTGATCACTCACGCAAATGGTGATAAATATGACTGATTTTCTTGGACAATCACTTTCAATCGACTTACATCAATTGAACAACATTAATTAAATAATGTCAGTGTTTCAGATTACACACAAAAATGATAACTATCTTACAAGACGTATATAACAGATTACATTAGTACAGGTTACCTCCCCGTAAGGAACTCGCGACTGAGACAAGGAAATCGGAAAGGGATTTTTAATTTAAAGATATATGTTCAGAGGTTGATATATTAATGAAACCCAAATAAAGGGATTATTATAACATTTATATATATTCCATGTATACATAGGGCCGATTTCAATTGGGTAAATCGAGGCCGTTTTTACCTTGGGCCGATATAACCAAAAATTATCGTATGTCGCAAGCCACAATGGATTCCCGCGGGTTAGAAACTTAGAAGTACTTACTTCGAAAGTTGATTTCCTGTATGGACCTCTCTTCGGCATTTTCTCCCATTAGCTTTTTGCACCTATAGCAGTAGGAATTGTTTTACCATTTACGTCAGCTTACGAGATTCGTGGAATTCCATCATTCCGAATTGAAAACACGACTGGCAGATTCACCAGTTCACACTTCCGGTTGATAAATAGAGCAATCGACCAATCAGAAATAAGCCCGCGCATTTCCATCTCTCATCAACGATTCTCATCATCATGGACAGTAAACGCCGCGTGAAGGTGACCATTCAAGATGATTCTGGTGAGTAATTGACCCAAAAGTTACCTTTATATAGAATGAACTTGCAGATATAGACATGAGACGTTAATGCTTTGTCCACTTATATCAGTGTTCTGAACTCGAAGTCGCACAGACGAAAAATCTGTCCGCTAAAAGGATGACAGGTCCGTCATATGATTTTGCGCAGTGATAACTTCTAGCCATCTGTCAAAAACTGTCAGCAAATTTTATCTATCCTTTGGTGTTTCTTTCACAACATGCCGTTAGAAGCTTCATCCACCAGTTTACACGACGTTGAGCGTGGATTTAATGCCAAGCAGACGACGTTTTCACGGATGACGGTCTAAATTGTGTTTTTGGGTGATTGTAAACATTTTTGTAAGAAAATGATCTGTGGAAGTTTGTTCATCACTATAAAATTTACTAAACTCATGGATCAC